AACTTTCAATAATCACCAAAAAATTTTATCAACTGGAATTTCATTACATTGCTATTCACATTTATCAAATTTTTTATAAAATTGAATTACTTCAAAAAAAAAATTTTTAATCAAGCTAAAATGCGAAACGATCTGGGTTTTAATAATGATTGGGTGTGGCATAGGATGTCATTTCTATAATTACGATTTTGTTAATCCATAAATTGTCTCAAGAATTTCACAAAACCTATGTCAAGATCTAGAAAAAGTGGTCAACTATACCGCAATCATAATAAGAAGAAGGCAGTTGAGAAAGAGCGAGAACGAACGAGCAAGGAAAAAGGAAAGAGATTGTTGGAGAAGGTGAAACGTCGGGTCGAGTCCTTCGTCGGTAATTGCGCCAATTAAGGCTATTAGGAATATAATAAATCCAGGAAAATGCCCAGCCCTCTGTTCACGATAAAGTCAGAAAGCAGAAGGCTTATAAACGCTTCACTAGTATGAATCTGTGCATCAACTGGAATTTCATATTATTTATTTAGTTAATCTTCAGACACATTTATTTTGCAAGTTCATATTGTGATTGAAAAAGTTTCACAAGTCGTTGAGTTTAAGTGCTATTTAACTCAAAAATAAAAAAAACTTTTTTATTTCTACGTCATGCGGTAATCGATCCATGAAATTTATGGGATAAGCATTAGCGCCTTATTATTCGCTGCCTGAACACGTAATTATAATTATGAAATGCTTTTCCAAGAAATTATCTACTACTGAGAAGAAAAATCCAAAATTGTGCTCATTGAAATACCGTTGATTCGTAGAACCAAATCAAAATGATTTTAACGCAAATATATTATCAAACATACAGATTACATAATTTTCATCATTTTTCTCCAACATTCCTACAAATTTATTCGGCTGAAATGTAAGCGTCATCAAGTAATAATTATTTGTTGATGATATTATAAATTCATTTAGATGATGATTCTAATGTAAATGAGTGGTCTCATAAAGAACTGAAAATGAAATATTATCAAATGATCGTTTATAAATGACATTCGATTGGTAAATGAATTCGTAGTATTGTCAACCAGATCACGTAGATTATTGGTCGCTAATTATCGAGTCGGTGTGTATGGCTACATCATATGCATGTGACTGAAAGACTCAATCGCACACAAAGATCTGATAAATAATGTAGGCGATGCCTCTCACACAACCGGAGACCAACGTCGATGGATAGAATTGCGTATGTACACCTGGATGTATCGTGACACGTAGTGAAAGAGAATTATTTTTCCACCCTTATGCAGTACTATTTACATTTCCTTCCGATTCTTCTTTCCGATGCCACTGACCCCAACAAATATCCCGGAACATCAAGTATGCCAAAAAGTTCAAATACACATGAGATATTATTAATGTCGATCTAAATTTACTTTTAATTCAGACATTAGTTGTTATATACAATATGTTCATGCTCATCTCTTTGTTTCTTTGAATTATCGTCTTAACTTAGGTCAACATGATGACAACTGTCTTAACCGGTCAGCAATAACATAGGATCCGATGACGTCTAGAATATCATCTACAAGAAACTTGAAATATGTATTGTAGAACTGACGAGGATTCAGCAACCGCTTGTTTGGCAAACGCTTTAGCCACTAACTACCATCATGTTTTCATTATCCTTACTTTAAGTAAGAACAAGACAAAGATGAAGAGTGATTGACTGTCTTTCAACGAAATTCAATCTGTAAAAACAATAAAGTAGGCTATTATTATTCTAACGGATTCATTGCTTTTGCTTTTTAAACACAACTTTACGTAGATACATGATAAATATATACACTTTATTACATTGACGTAAGAGAACTCGAGGTAAAATTTAATATGCAAAAATTTTCAAAAATATGCATTTAAAAATAAATCATCAATATTTTTATTTGATTTATTCGAAAGTTTATTCAAACATACTATTATACGTTTATTCATACGGTATATTTGGACGTTGATGTTTTTACTTTAGTATTAACATACTTTTAAATGTATAGTAAATAGATTATATTATCATAATTATTAACGTTCAAGTGGATGGTAATTAATGTTTTAGTTAAAGACTTAGCAATTTATGTATTCCATTCAGATCACCATAAAAGGAACGGAAATAGTAGGTTTTAAACACGAATCATCCATTCCCTTAGTTCTTTATAGCTATAAAGATGTTACGGGGAATAACTATGTAACTTTTATTGTAATAAATTTCTGCATTAAGTTGAATATATTTGAAATTTTTAATATTGATAAAGAGTAAAGTATCTTTAGAGGTTCATGAGTGAAGAAAGAATGCTACTATGGCGTATAGTTCAAAAATAACTTACCGTTTCAGTTACTCAGCAGTTTACAGATTAGCGACAAAAATGTCTTTTATTTTGCATAACGTTTTTTTTTCGGTGAAAAAATTTAATTGCCTTTTCTATCATAGAGTTGTAATTGTAGTTAAAGACGTACAATAGACATCCATCGAAAAGAAGAAGAAATTATACTTAAAAGTACCCGCATCTATTTTTTACACCTGCCGGACTTTTTATGCTGTTACTCACGGTGACGTCTTAACACAATAATACTCGATAAACTATTCCATACCCCTAGAAGAGTCTTAAGATGGTAATAATATTCATATAGGAAACTAGAAACATCAACTAGTATAAGGGTTTCCCACGATGAAGAAAGAAATTAAATTTTAAATTAAAGACACCTGGAAGTAATAGTCTTACTTGATTAATTGCTCTGTATTCACAATTAAAAGTTTTTATTTTGTCATCAGGGTAATTTCCGTTCACGTGCAATTTTTTTTTTTTTTAATAATTTTCACAAGAGCTAACAGAAACCTGTCATTGTTTCAATTTTGATAAAAATAAATTTTTCTTTTGTAATAACGTTATCTTTCTGATATAATTGATGTTCATTTTATGAAGGTGTATGAAGATTTTACAAAAAATCTGCGTATATGTCTGAAGAATAAAGAATATTCTACTTCTTTCGAAAGTAAATCAAAGTAAGACATTTATATTGGCAGGAAAAATGCTGACATAGTCAACTTCACCGAACATATTAAGATTTCTGATTTCGATGCTGTACATTTTTATTATTGCACGTTTGTTTCTGAGGAAATAAAATGTGAAATATTGTCCAGCTTGTGGCGTTAGAATTCTATTCATTCTTCATAAAATTGATCCATATATAATAATGATTTTTTCATTATTAAATTAACATACTCATCTTATTTAATTTTCCAAGTGTCATCAGAGTCAAGAACCAATTCTTAAAACAATAGAAACATAAACGCAACCTATTTAAAGAAGTAATCACGAAATATAACACATTGTGTTATATATACTCATGTATTGCTTTCTTTCCACTTAGAGCAAACTATATGAAGTACAATTCTCATTCCTTTGTTCTGAATTGCTGATAAGACACTTCTAAACATTTTATTGAGAGACCCCGTTGGTACATTTTATCTCAGGGCCGAATTCTTTCTATTTGTACTCCCCTGATTCATTTATCTGACTTTTTTCTCTTATTCTCTATCCAAGTATATAAGCACTCAACTGAATACCAGTGCAATCGTTTATCTCTTCGACTTCCGCGTACGAGCGAAATGCAGACTCGATAGAATAACCACAACCAAGCATTGGAGTCGACGAAGAAGTGGAGAAGAGCGGGACAAAATGTGAAATACGAGATCGTCGGCTGTTGGAAGTGTGTTAGATCACTTGTGTCAGAACAATTTATTCAAATTAATAGCTCCAGATATCTGTGGTTCCTTTATCATACCATTAGCTCAGCTAACAATCTTTTCTCCTTTTTTTCAGTCATGTCGAATATATGTATTCTAATATGTGTACTACATCAGCATCAATATGCTATTTATCACTATCTTTCTTACTTCCAGTTATCACCTGAATTTTCACTATTGCAATCATTACTTTAACCTTAGAACATTTATCGTATATTTTTATTCATTCAATATTGAGTGATCTGAAAAAAATTAATGTATTGTCATTCTAATTAGAGTATTCGTTTTTTTGTCATACGTTGTATGGTTAATATATGTGTATATCCTTGAAATTTTATTGGCCAAGAAACTTCTCCCACTCCAGAAAGTCTTGCGCATTGTCCCTCTGTATCGTCGAAATATGGTGGCAGTCTTGGATCTTCATTCAAGCGCGTCACGTGTCTATTAACTTGAACTGCACTTCGATAATCGGTCGATTGAAAAACAATTGCGTAAGCTATTCAATTATTTATCAATTTCTCGGTGGAATAAAAAAAGTCGAAACTGACGTTGAAGGGTCCAAGTACTTTGAATTCAAAGTATAGAGGGTAGAGACTGTCGAATGAAAGTTTCTCCCTAATTTTAGTGGATTTACGCCAAGTAAAAGTTGGACGATTCTTTCATGGCTCTGAAAAGCCGTTAAATTCTCCTGTGCTCGAGTAGCATCGTCGTTATCGTCTTTGCGTTAGTAACGGCAAGTTTACTTTTCGTGCTCTGACGAAGTAGTGCTACTTACTATTGAACGAACAGGAATGAAAAATGAGTTAAAAGGATAAGAGAAAGTATACAGGACTTGAAACAGTGATAAAGTTTTAACTGAGTATCGCAAAAAGGATAAGTGTACAGGGCAACACTAGAATAATTTAGCATACATCAAGCTGAGAAAATTAGGACGCTCGTCAGACCAACACTGTTGTTAACATTTGTAGAAAGAGTCTTATCACTCGTGCGAATAGATGCGTCGTGACTGCAACGAAATTTATTGCGGGTGGTCACGGATACGCGCTTATCATACTGAGATGTTCATTTGTCGTGCCGACTATGAAAACCATAGAATGGTACTAAGTCATTAATATTATATAACTGTTCCATATCTACCTTTTTTTCAACAACTTTAGTATTTCTAAGAAGGAAGAATAAAGAATAATAAATGATAATGTATAAAAATTTTTTGTTACAGTATGGATCGGACGAATTTGGACAGGATTCTCCGAGGTATACGTCACCAAAAGCCGCAACATTGTATGCGGAACCCTACTATATTGGTAAGTAAAAATCTTCTTATAAGGGAAAAAGAAAAAAAAAGTACACCGGTTTGTAGGCACAGAGTAATAAAAAAGATAGAGGATATTCGACTAGTGTGAAGTGAGAAAAGTTTTATCAGACATCGAATGCCAGTTCTGAGAGTAGTAGTTTGGCTTAGTTTTCGATGAAAAATAGTCCAGTGGTTAGAGCACGAAATTACATAAAGTATAGTATCAAGAAATATACTTTTTCAACTTATTGCTGTTGTTTTCAAGTTAAATAATGGCCAATTCAACGGTCTTTCTGCTTTATGACCACCGGGTGGTACTTTTTCATCCATTATCAATACAAAAACAATCCCTAAATGAACATCAAATAAGAGCAATTATTGAACTAGATCAATTTTTTTTCTTACATGTCACTTTTATTTGCAGATGGGAATTCAGCAAGCACGGGTACAGGGGATCCGTGGAACGGTAGTGGAGGCGGAGTACAGCCACCCTACAGCGGATACGCACCTCCCCACCTGGCACAGCCTGCCTACCCTATGCACATAGCTCACGACCCCATGGTAAGTGTGTATAGACACAACAAAGAATAAGATACAGAGACGAGCATCCTGTAAATATAGTGTCCTAGTTACTACACTTCTTTTCAGTGACATTGAAAAGATTCCCATAGTCCTTCCTTCCTCTCCCCAAAGTGGCTGAAAATGACTTTTCATTCACTGAAGAAACTAGAAAGCACCAGCTGGTTTACGTATTTTCATTTAAACTGAATGTCATTGAACGATGGTTGGGAGTCACTGATGACAGTGTTCACTATGGTACATACCAAATGAGTCATGGTCGCTATATATAGAGTCAAAATCCACCCACCAACATGTTTCTAGTCAAGTGCACGCGTAGCGACTATTTGATTTACGCTTTCCACAGATATGTGACTATATGCATTTGGTCTATCTTGTAATATTATTTACCAGAAATGATGTAGCTACTTCTAAATGTATACACAATAAATGTACCACAACCATTTGCGACTATTCTTACTATATAAGTTGATTTTTTTTATTATTGCTTGAACATCATTTTGGAGCTCTTGATCTCTGCTTAAAATTCCTACAAACTACTCTTTATCTCAGTTACTAAGTACACCAAGAATAACATTTATGTCTTGAAGTAATTTCATTTAATTAAATAGCCTTTTTTGTTTGTAAAAAAATTTTAAAAATTAATTTTCTGCAAGTTAGATATCTTTAATTTGTTTATAAATATACTTATCTTCAAGCTGGATAGTAATAATACTGCAAGTAGAGAGTTGGTATTTAAAATTAGATACTTTATGAATAGTGTTGGATTGGAGATTGGGCACAGTACACGAAGCTTCCAGTTATGTGTACATGTAATATCAAAGCTACTTATCTGTTAGCATTAAATAATTTTATTTTACCATTTCTCATATAGAAATTTTTTTCCACTCAATTTGATCTATTGAAAATATCAATAGAATTTTGTAATGGTTTTTTTTAGTCATTCAAGCTAGATGATATTCAGTATTTTGACTGTGTCTGAATGTTTCAGGCATATTCTGCCATGTCACCAAATGGTGAACCAGCCGCACCCATCCTTGGATCTACGGTGACTAGTGCGGCGTCTTTGCCTCCAATGTCAACATTTAGAGGTAGTGCGGCGGTTGCTGCAAGTGGCGGTACTGGAGCACCTTCTCCAGCATCATTACAATATAATCACAGTCCAGGAGCGCCAACAACCACAACACCAGCAGCTAATCCCGCACCCAATAATCAAACTCCCGCAGCCGACAGTTTAGGAAAAACTCTAGCATCTGTAGTAAGCACACGGGTATGTTTCTATCTTATTTTATATTATTAATAAAATTAATGAAAATTAATTAACTGAAATGAATGCTTTTGTTGACAGTTTATTATTTAAAAGAATGAATCATTTTTCGAGCATTCTATTGTGTAGTAATTTATCGCATGGAAGTCATTGTTCAAAATTTGAAATCGATGTATTTACCAAACTATAATAATTTATAATAAAAATTGTAGATTTATCCAACGGACCAATCAGTATCCAGTTATAGCAGTAATCCCTCTACACCCGTGGGTTCGCCGCCACCTTTAACAGGTCCTACACCAGGCTGGGCGCCCGGTACAACACCAGTTTCACCACACTTTACTGCTGATCCTACTCGTGGAACTATTCATATGGTACGCTCTAAATTGCTTCAAGCTTTCTGCTTCTTATTTGTTTCACCATCAATGTCATTCACGCACCACTCAATTATCATTTTGATTTCGGGAACGATACACATATTTTAATAACGGGTTAAATGATGAAAAATAAAATTTTATACTATTTTCTATATTTTTTAATGATATATTTGATCAATTATACACTAACAATTTTTTTAATATACTGACTTAAATCTTCACTTAAAAAAATGAAAATTGGAAAGAGATGTGTTAATTTATCAAGAACTGCGCAAGCATGTTCACACACATAATTTTTAAATGTTTTCAAAGATTAATTTGCGTGAAATTTTTGATGAAAAATAATAAGCAAAAAATGAGTTTAATTTATAATTAATGATACTTTTGTTATTTTTATTAACGTTTTTTTTATATCATTTTAATTATTTTATTTATTAATTTTTTTTAATTTTCTATAACTTTTTTCTTGTTTGCTGTGTACGTTGTGTTGACTTGGTTGTTATTCTTTTTTTGGTTTTGTTATTGCGTTGGTGTTGTGTGTGAAGCCGGCGCCCGAACAACAGAGGCTAGACGATGCCATCGGCTTCCTTCGCGACCACGCCGAGGTGAGGATTGCCGATTTTCATTTTTTTTTTTTTCGATTTCACCTCATTATTCATCACTTTAAATATAATTTAACAATTTTTTAACTTTTTATAGATAATATCTTCGATTAATCTTCTTTTTATTTCTACTCTTTAACAATACTAATAATCATAAGAGTTTTTATAAACCCATAACATAAACATAAATGTTTTTTTTAAAGATTTGCATAAAATATACAACTTTTTGTATTGCATAAGATAATATATATTTTCAATATGTTAATAATTTTAGAGAATTAAATCAGATTAAAATTCAATTTTTCTTACTGTTCAATCTACTATGAAAATATTTTGCTTCAATTAATATTTTTAAATACTCTTACATTTTGAATTTAAAGAAATAATTTTTCATTTTAAAAATCTTTATATATATACATTCCTCTGAATCTCTTTAATACGGAATCAGCGTAATCGAGAGGATGTTTTTTGGGTATTCTGTTGGTACAGGGTTCTCGGATGGAGGAACGACTGGATGATGCCATCAACGTATTAAGGAATCATGCAGAGAGTCAACTTGGGCTTCATCTTGGTCCTGTAGGTCCCCATGGTGGTCTTTACTCCCACACATCGCCATCTCAATTGGATCATCTTGTAAGTTATTACTAATATCTTTTCTCAATTACATACTAGAAAGCAATAACAAGCAATATATGATGATTAAAAACTATAAATAATTCCAGGCAAGTCCACATCCTGCAGTAACGGTTGCACAACCTCAAGGATCATATCCAGGACTCGCGCCAACACCTGATACTGATGGGTCTATCAAAATTGAAAGGTTACCTGTTTCAAATGCCAGTAAGCATTCAACATCTTCATTAAAATATTCTTCAATCATTCTCTTAAATTTTTTTGATCATTCTGACATATAAAATCATCTTGGTCCATGGTCAGTATGGTTAAAAGAGTCCTCTAACACTTTCTCTTAACGTCACTCGACTCTGTGCTTACTGTCGCATCATCAAACATTCACTTTTTCCCATGGACACAAGGGAATAAAAAATATCCAAGCTCCCAGGTGTTCTCTAGTAACGTTCACAAACCCGATAAGGAAATATTAGATAAATCACAGGACAAACCGCTATCGTGTAAGCATTCCTTTGGCCTTTATTATCTGTTCTTTGGTTCAATCGTATTCACAAGTAAGATTCATCGGCAGACGATTCTCTGCATACCGGCGAAGTGCAAAGTGAAATTTTCACTAAGCAATCACGTCTAAAATCCTGATATCGACAAAGTACGGAAATTTCTGTTGTCGGGACCATGTATGGCGCCTTGGCATTCGAAGTACTTTTCTCTTAAACCCTTTTACTAAGGGATAAGCTGAAGCAACTCACTAAACAATCGATTGAACGTGGCTCTGATTTATCTCTAACTCGTGAGACGCACAACTGCAAAGTCCAGTGAATTGTCATTGTTTAAGGCGATATAACTAAATCAGGAGCAAACTTCCTACTAGTAATTGACTCGCGCTTTTCACGGATTGGTGACTAAACTCTCTTTCTCTTTCCAATGAGTAAAGCTAATTGTAGATCGAAGGACGTTCTTGTTTTTGTTTCCGGTAGTGTACGCTTAATCTACTTTACATATTATTTACAAATGCTTTCTTGTCTTGTATTACACATACATTTTTAAATAATTGGAATTACTTTCAAATTCGTTGTTGATGTTTCTACAAATTAACTCATGATCATAAAAATAAAAGAGAATGATGCCTGGTAAAATTAATTATGATACCTAAAGAGCAAATAAATAATTAGCAGAATACATCTCTCTAGAAAAGAGGAAAGATCCACCTGATAGTAGTGGAGGTGAAACAAAACCATCAAGTAGTGATTTAACAGCTGGAGTTATTGGAGGTGCTACAGTTAATTCAACGTCTCAAGGGAAAGGAACAAAACGCTCGCGTAGATAGTAAGTATCTGTAATATATTGATTAGTAAATTAATATAAGATTTTCAAGACAACCATACATACTAAAAATTCTATCAGAAATTTTTCAAACTCTTTCTATTTAAATTCAATCAATTGATGTAATTAATTGATCAAGAATTATATCATTCATTATAAAATATTATCAAATAATTAATAAAAATTATTATTTTATTTCATAATTTTGAATGAAAAGGAAAAACTTTGAAAATATTTCTATCAGAAAAACTGTATCGTTCGTTTTCAAATCTTGCTGTTAATATTAATCATTCAAACGTGTTGAAATAATGTCAATTTTTCAATCTAAACTAACTTGATATTGTTCTTAAACAATCGTTGTTCGAGCGCTGATGAAGACTGTGACGATCCTGGCACCAAAGCAATACGCGAAAAAGAACGCAGACAAGCCAACAACGTTCGCGAAAGGTTAGTGAACACACGCAGTACGCACTTTGAATTCACTCTTATTTAGTATTGGAAAAATCAAGTGTTAACTGACAAAGTTTCCCTTTCATTTTTCATATTCAATGTATTTAAAAAGAATTGAAAATGATTGAATTTACAAATTTTCTATCTTTTTGGCCCGTATCTTCAGACGTTCTTGATTAAAATGTCGCTGGTTAGAGAACAAAACAATCCATCTCCAAATCAGTTTCATTTTAAAGCGACTGAGTCTGGCCATTAGATTTTTTTCGTCTCTTAAATGCACTATCACTTATGATTTTTATTCAAATAAACGTCACTTTTAATTCAAATCAATTCAGTGATATCAATTAACTTCTTATTTTTAATTTTATTTTTCTACATTATTTTTCTTAATAGATTCTTTGTTTCTTCATCTTTTTCAATCTTTCTTATCTCATCTTTATCAATTGACACAAAAATATTATACTTCATATAAATGCATATTTTCTAATCATTTTTTCCCTGTTTTTCTAGATAAATATTTAAAACATCATTTGTCATTTTCTCTTATTTAGGATCATCTAATGAACATCTTCAAGAAAAATTTTGTACATTTTTTCATTAATTAACCATTTTTATTTCCACGTTCTCTTTCTTTTTTATTTAAGTTTATTTTTCATAAGGAGGAAAAAAAAAGAGAATAAAGAAATTCACGAATTTAGTGCAAAGAATACGGGCCTTAAAGGCAGAAGGGCTAAGATCAATTTAAAAAAAAATTGCACCTGCGTGTGTTCATTCAAGATTCACCAAAAAAATAAGTTAAAACAGTGCTTGAAGTGAACGGTATTCAATTAAATTTTACAATACATTATTTAAAAGACGATAAAAAAGAAAGTAATTAAAATCATTGAAATTGGTTGCTTCAGACCACTACAATTTAATTGAATATTGAATAAAAATTGACAGCAAGATTACTTAGTTTAGTTTTAAGATTTAACTAACGTCAGGTGATTAATCGAGTATTGTTATTGCGCAACTGTTGTTCGAGCGCTGAGGATGAGGATGACGATCCCGACGTTAAGGCTCAAAGGGAAAAAGAAAGACGGCAGGCCAACAATGCTAGGGAAAGGTAAGAATATTATAGGATGGGAAAATTTGATTAAAATAATATTTACAATACATACGTGTATAATTATTTAAATTCCGAATCAAATTATCGTGATTAATCTGCCGCCCGTATTCTATGTCAACTATATATCGTGTCTTTTATTGTCTTTTTTAGTGATTCTTTTTATTTTAATATTATTTAGAGCAATATTGTTAATAATCTATTGTATTTAGGATACGTATCAGGGATATCAATGAAGCTCTTAAAGAGCTTGGAAGAATGTGTATGACACATTTGAAAACGGACAAGCCACAAACGAAACTCGGAATACTTAACATGGCAGTTGAGGTGATAATGACTTTAGAGCAACAAGTGAGAGGTAAATTAAAAATAAATTATTTATTTATTTGAAAAAAAAAAAAAATTAATTTAATTGTAATTGAATTAACGAAATTTTTTTTTGTTTGTTTTCATTTTTAACAGAGAGAAATTTAAATCCCAAAGCAGCATGTTTAAAAAGAAGAGAAGAAGAAAAAGCTGAAGATGGACCAAAACTACCAGGCCATTTAGCAGCTCACATAGGTCATCCACATTCTCATCCACATGCACATTCTCAAGCACCATTTCCAGCAATGCCAGTAAGTATAATTAAGACGGAATGGAATTTTATTAATAATTTAAATAAAGGTGAATTATTAATGTTTTCAGGGGCCACCTCCTTCGCTTCAACACAACCAAGCGCAGCCCCAGTAGCAGAGGTTTAACGGCATTGTCCTTTGTTAAAAAAGTGTGCAGTTTGTGAAAGCCTGTGAAAGAACTCTTGGAAAAATTGTCAGGGCTCGAGTGTTGTCTTTAGCCTTAATACAATTAAAGAGAAAAAGTTTTATCATATATAAATAGACATATATGAGTGGCAGAGTATATATCATATTAAAAGTATATACATTGTATGTATAGTTACGACTAGACTCGAAATTGTCGTGTTTTGAAATAGAAATAAATATGATGGACCCCGGTGATAGGTGAAGAAATTTGGTGAAAATAATTTGTCAGAAGACAATGTGGGTGCTCTTTCGTTTGTATCTTTTATCAATAATTTTTATTACTCAGAAATAAATAAAATAATCTGAGATTGTAGAGATAAAACAACAAAATATGTAAAAATGAATAATAAGAAAAGAAAAAAAAGTGACGCACAATTGAAAAAATTATAAAATCAAGTGTTAAAACTCTGTTTACTCTGTTTATAAGAAATACCGACGGAATTGATAACCGTACCGGCATCCAATGACAATAAATAAGTATTATTCATAAAAGAATAAACGGGATTCCCGATAAATTACATTTTTTTCCTTTCATTTAAACATATCAAAGGAGGTAGTTTACGGGATTTGAACTGGAAGCGTGAAAATATTTCTTATAAATGCTTGATACCAACGAGCAGTAAGCAATCATCGTGCATTCAAGTGGGAAATTACGCTTCAATCAGGATTTACATCTCGTTAAATTTAAAATATTGATAAATAAAAAATCAAGACAGAAAATAATAAAGAATAAATCGATAAACGGGTGGTACCATCTACATTGAAACTGTAGCACTGAGTTTCACTCGTTTTTTTTACTGATTAATATTATTAATTATCTAAAAGAAACATTTTTATTTGCAATGATAGCGCCCGCCATCATTATTTTGGGAAATTACGTATATTAATATACATTCACACTTATATGATCATGCATATATGTATGAACGTATATAAAATATACATTATAAATATATAAATATTTATAAATAAAATGGAAGTGAAAAAAATGGAATGATAAGTGATTAGATAAAGATTCGTAGAAATTATGTATGTGCAACAAATTGGAATAATATCGCTCATATGAGAGCCAATAGTTAAGAGAAAAATGTTAAGGCGTAGTTATTAATTAAGATACTTCTATACTGCTATCCGAAATCTATTTGCTATACTTGCTATATTAATATTTTTAAATTTTCAACTAGTAATTAAAATATTGTACTTATTTTTATTATATTTAATGAATGCTAGTGTGAGAATGATAAAAAAAGAGTTAAATGGAAAATTATAATGCAAATAAATTTTTTATGAAAAATTATTTCATTTGTTTTGATGTAAAAATGATAGAGGTTTATATTTTTCTAATTTAAGTATTTTCGTGAGTACTGCGAATAATATTACGGGAGCAGTATAGCTGTGTTTTTAGAGGCCGATTTAATACTGATAATACTGCTAAATATAAATATGGCGGCTTCAAATTATTTTTATAAATAGTGAAAGACAAAAGAATATGGTTCCTCTTTCGAAGTATGAAATAGTAACGTTCAATTTTTTTTTATCTGTCCCATGTCCTCCTTGAATCCCATTTGTTCTTACCCGCAACACATTAAACTCATTATTCATTCAATCTATATCATCAAAAAAAAACTTAACTCGTATTTCCTGTATACAGTACGATTCGTTGAGTTTTCATTGTAGAGCGCAATAGTTGAAAATGAATAAGTGATAAAACGAAAATTATTGAGAGAATGAACGGATGATTTTAAAATGTAAGATTATAAATGAAGTGATTGTATATAAAAAATGATGATTGTTAACAATTATTCCAACATAACGACGAGGCTCGTACGGAATAATGAGAATGATGATGATAATAATAATAATAATAATATTAATAGTAATGATGATGATTATGATAATATGATGATTATAATGATTATGATTATGATAAAGATTATGAAAATCTGTCACTTTCACGCAATAATATGAGAGAATTAGTTTAATGATTTATTTTTCTCATATTATTGCGATTAAGATCTCGCTAAAAAAATAAATTAAAAAAAAGAAAAATCCGTTTCTTGCTTCTAAATTCGCGGTCGTACGTTTAATTTGTACATACTAGTGTCGTGTGACAATCGCGAACATGTAAGAATCGGCAGTGGAGAGCAAGTACAAGACTAAAAAAATAATACGTCAAGCGCTAATATTTTTTTATTAATTACTTAAATATCACTCATAATTTAAAATTTTAACCATTTGATTTTAGAAATAAAAGTTATTGATGAACGTACTTGATTTTTAATTGTTTTTTTTTTTTACTATGAATATAGATAGTACTATAATTTAAATTTATTTAAGTCAGTAATTATTAGTTAATACTTTGTAAAGTATAACAGAATAAAATCTCTTCCGACGATATTATTTTTTCTTTTAAATGCGCGATTCATTTCCATCGAAGTAGAATAAGCAAAAAAGTTCGATAACGTTATAATCATGTATGCGCGCAGTACTTATGCATAAATAATAATTATAAATTAATTGAATAAAAAATAGACAATTGAAAAGAATCTTTACAATATCATATGAACAATAAACCTACGAGCCTCGTTTGTAAAATTATTGAGAGGGTCAGCTTGCCTTCGAAAATTGTCGTGATCTCTAAATAAAGTGGACGAAAGCGAACTGCTAAACAATTGGATGTGAGATAATAATTTAAAAACAAAACAAAGATAATAAAAAATACTAAAATACAAACAAATATAATAAATGAAATGCCATCGAATTACGTTAAAACATATCTCGCGCATAATTGTAAATAAAAAAAAAAAGCAGTAACGCATGCCTAAATATTTATCTAATTATTATTACTATTATTATTATTATTATCATTATTATTACATTGATGTATATCAATATTACTCTGTTCTTTATTATTAATATTATTATTATTAATATTCTGATTATTATCAATTATTATTTTATTATTATCATTTATTATCATGATTATTAGTTATTAATTATTAGTTAACAATTATAAAACAATGTTCGTGATGCAAGAGCAAAATACGAGGAACTTTTTGTTTCTGAACAAAAATATAGCTCAACAATGTGTATCCAGTTGCCATGTATTTTAATTTATTTAGATTTTTAAATAAATTTTATTGAGAATAAACCAAAAAATCATTTGTTAATTAAGTAATATTTATTGTAGCAATAATTTATTTTCATTTAGATATTACTCAATAAATCTTGACAACTTAAGGTTTTTTTTACCTATTAAGCTATATTTTTATTCAAAAACAAATTTTTTTCATACATATTTTCACAAATTTAATAAAATGAATTTTTTTCTATCATGATATTTGATTGTCTTTAAATTTCTGTTTATTTATTACATAAAATTTATGACAATTTATAAGTGTAGTATTTCATTGATAGTTATAAAAATTTGATTTTGTATCGAGTATTTAAAGATAAATTAATTTAATTTTTGTTATCAACATACTGCTTGACTACCATAAGCCAAGATTCATCTGTCATAATTTATTTACTTTAGATATATTATATAATAATTTCAATATCAAGATAATTCTTCAGTCATTAAATATTTTTTATCAGTTTTTGTTTAATTATACTTCGACTTTTTGAACTTGATAAAGAAATTGATGATAGAACAGTGTAAAAAACAAAGCTGAACTGATGCTTATCTACAAAAAGCATCCATTTTTAAATGCTTCTTCTCATCGTTACCCATTTAGTATCTGGGAAAATAATGTTATCTACTCATCTCCATAAGATGGTATCGTCTAATGTGTATGATGTCATATTTTTGATTCTTCAATGAAATGATTATCAGATTGCAGAATGGTTAACAGCATAATAGGAATTTTTTCGATGAAATCAAAAATAGAATTAATATGAATTTACGTTTATATATCGTTTTCACATGTTATGAAATTATTGATATTCAATTTTTAACACAGTGAATTACAGAGTACTCCAATACCAAAGCCAGATCGTTTAGATAGATTCCTTACATATTATAAGCAGGAAAAGTAACTTAATTAATACAAAATAATTTCAAATTATTAATTTAATTAACACATGCAAATAAGCATAAGAATCTTATTTCATAATTTTATCATCAAGTAAAAAGGGCATATATTTAATGAAAAAAAAGCAATACATTTATTCCTTCAGTATGTACAGATCATTTTCAACATTAATCTTGATTTTTATTTTGCATGTCACGTTCTTAAGAACATATTATTGTCATAACAATTAATACAATCATTACGATGAGACTTGAGAATAGCAATTAATCAAAAATGGTATAATCTCTCAATTCACTACATTTAGAGATTTAGACATTGATCATTGTAAAAAATTCCTAAATACAATTCAATGTAAATGAACTAGACCTTGAAAACTCGTTTTGAATGCCCGAAAGTATTTTACGCTATCACAAAAAAATGACATTCAGTTAATTTACAAAAAATGAAAAGAATTAAAATAAAGTTACGCCATTATGTTAATTCAAGCTCTTGATAGCTTTCTTTTTAAAGTAAAGTATCCAATAAATCTGAAGATAACAAAATAACTCAATAAAATACAAATATCAAACCAAAATCGATCTTCAGTTAAGTTAAATTCATTTAAAATCATGCTGGGCATTCGATAATGACAATAAATAATATTATCTGGGCAAGGAAGCTTTTCACGATTGAAACCATACACTACTTGTACTAAAGCTTCTAATGAATACCTGAGATAACTAAGATAACTAATTGAGTACATTACAAATGACATATGTCGTAATAAAACAAGAAAACCCGCAAAAAGTAACATAGCACATGTTATGATTGATCCAATGAAAGTTCCATTTATTGGATTGAACATCGTGCCTAGTAGCAATCCAATGCTCTCAGCAACAAGAATAATTACCATCCCAGTGAGGCCAAACATCAAAAATCGATACCAATCTAAAGGTTGATTAGTCATTAAATATGCGATTGATGTATTGACAGCAGGGTCTAATATATAAATTGGAATATTTGCAATAAGAAATGCTATATAGTAAGTCCGAAGATGATACCAATTGTTGAATTTTTCTTTCTTCAGAACCGGTAATTCTGAAGGGTACTTAAGGATTGCTGGTAAAGTATAAGTATAGACATAATAAACTGCAGTTATTGTAAGATATCCAAGATTATTCATAGTTTTTGAGCCATCAGATCCTGCATCTTTGAAAACTAAACCTAATAAAATGGCGACGGAAAAGTTAATTGCAAATTTCAAGTACACCATACTCCAATCACGGTAAAGTTGCATATTACAGCGTTTGAGGAGTATCCAAAATCTCTCAAATTCTGATGGTGGACTAATTAATACTGTTGCTTTTTTGTCATTAGCAGATCGATTAATAATTCCACTAACATAGACTGAAGGTTTTAATGCAGGTGCTGACCTCCAAGAACGTGGTCCAGCTGCTGCAATTGCTAGTTGTTCATTAAAATTACCATATTCTTTATTGACGACTTCGATCATAAAGTCAGCTGGATTATGGTACTTAGGACATTGGAGACCTACGTTACTGAAAAAAGAGATTGTGTTCATTGGAGCTCCTTGGTATACACAGCGACCATCAGCAAGTAAGTATACATGGTCAAACATTTCATAAATTGCAGCACTAGGTTGGTGAATAGTACAAACAATTGTTCTACCGTCTTTTGCAAGACTATGGAGCATAGCAACACATTGGAGAGTTGAAGAAGAATCTAATCCAGTTGTTGGTTCATCCAAAAACATAACAGGAGGATTATCAATAAGTTCTAAAGCTATGCTCAACCGTTTTTTTTGACCACCACTAAGTTTATTGCATCGTGTGTCCTTAGCTTTCGTGAGATCTAAAGTTTCAAGAATGTCATCAACGAGCATTTCTTTAGCTTTTTTACTGAGACAACTTCCGAGTTTTAAATTTGCTGCTATTGTCATTGTTTCTAACGTCGTAAACAACGAAGCTAGTCGATCATCTTGTTGAATATAACATGCAGCTTTTTTATAAACACTCCAGCCTTGTTTACCAGCTTCATCGCTGGTATAGTCAATCGTTCCTTTAATGTTACCAGATTGAAAACCTGTTAAGAGGTTCAACAATGTAGACTTTCCCGCTCCAGATGGACCCATAATTGCTGTCAATTCTCCTGATTTAAAACAACCACTAATTCCTTTCAACAAAAGTTTTTTTGACTGCCAAATTCCAGGTTTTACTTCATAAGTTAAATTGTGGAATTCTATGTTTATTGACTGAGCCTTGGGTAAATTAATTAGCACTGATCGTTGATACATTTTTCAAGTAGATAGAAAAGTTACAGTATAATGAAATAAACAAACAAATAAAAGTCACTTTTATTATGTATCTTGAACACTTCCTGTGATCTTTAAGACTGTTGAAATACTGTTTTAAAGAATCTAGACGTGTCTGTATTGCACTTGATCAATAATTTTTTCCTGAGAACTACGTAGCCTTCTTCGCGAAAAAAAAATCTACCTGATGGTAAATTGCGTCCTTCTCTCGATTTCCCATGCACTTACTGAAGGCCCAATGATATAGCACACAAAATGAACCGGTCCCGATCACCTTCGTGTAAATGTCTGATGGTCAAGAAGCATATTTTCTGACGTGATCGTTGTTCCTCCACTTTTTTTATCTTTTCTTTAAAATTTTTTAGCTACAAAATTCTTATACTTATTCAATTTTTTGTAAATCTCATCAAATCCTCTTTGATTTACGGAATTTAAACCTTGTATAGTATGATTTAAGATTAAATATTGCATAAGATTGAGAGTAATTTATCCTCTGACGTCAGTATTTATCAGAAGTTAGTTTTATATCAAGTTGTTTGACTAACAATTAAATTTTTTTCAAATTCATATTTCTAATAATTAATTCTCTGTAATTATGTACGATCGATCAATTAGCCTGTAACATAGAAAAAATAAAAATAAATTTATTATTAATTGGAATAAAAAATTACGTCTTATTTTTATTTGATTTTTTATATTAAATAGTGTTAGTATGTAATTATATTTTTTCACCAAATCTTTAAGATAACTATAATTTAATAATCAGTAATCATACTAAAAAATGACGCTTTTATTTACGCTTGTTTATCCATTTTTGCTACTATGTAGATACTAGTAATAATAAAATTTATTTTATTACAATTGATAGTGAAAATAGTGAATTTTTATTTCATCAAATCAAATTTATTGATAATTATTAAGAGAATGAAAAGAGTAATATGTTATAATAAAATATTAAAATATGTTAATAAAAACATTTTTCTGTTACAAAGTAGTTAAAATGTTGCATAAATATACATAAAAAATCAATAAATGTTTAATTTATTAAAGTTAGATGAATGTGATGAGTATTGTAGTGTTTTTTCCTTTACAATTCCCGTAACAGAAATCCGGATATATAAGCAAAGAAATGAATTTACTTGTCATTATCAACATGATCTAAAATGTAAATTAAAAAATGTCTGTAATATGATGTGTAAACTATACAATCACTATGATTACCTTTCATAAATAATTAATAAGTACTTATATAAACAATATTATTGAATCATTATTAACAATGTTGTATTTAAACTTTTCTTTGTATGCATATTTTTCATGACTCCATCACTTCTAACTGATAGAAGTTAATCATTAATTCACCCAGTTCCATAACTCGTACGATGTGTTAATCTTTTATCTTATTATTTCACTATTGATGACTTGCTTTCTTTTATGATATAAAATACGTCAAACAGTTAAATAAAATTTTATTATGTAAAAATTACTAAATTAATAGCTACATGTGTCTCTGCTATTTTTCTTTTATAAAAATTCAAAGTTATAAATTAAAAAAAGTTACAGTAATATTATTTATTTTTTATGTCTAGGTTAATGACTTTTCTATTATTATTATACAGGATTACTTTCTAACTTGAGGTAATATGTAATCATAATATTTATTCAATTATTATAGCTTAATTTATCCATTTTTTCAACTATAAATGTAATAAATAACACTAAGAATTTTGGAAAATTTACTAACTAATGCTAATGCACCTAATTAATGGTAATAAATCTGATGAATGGTAATTATTAAAGGTATAAAATCAATTCAACTTACAATTGGTTAAATAAACTCGTTACAACTTATTTTACCAATCTTATATTTGATAATAACTTAGAAAAGACTTTCCTTATTCCAGCAAAGAATTAAAACTTTTCTTCATCAAAAACTAACACTTTCAGTCAATACGACCTTTTTTTCCTTTTAATAAAAACTCGGAGTTTTGTAAAATTATTTTTAAAATAAATTATAAAATAAACTTTATAAGTAATATTAATATGTACGACAACGATAGATAGACACGATCGTTATGCGTGTTGCACATCAACTGCATGGTCGTTTCCCAGTTCCACTCCACGGTATTTCTACGATTGTACAAGCCTTACGTTTACTACTGATGACCTGAGTCTGTAATTTCTACACGCTGAAAGTGTACTGACTACTCTTTTTCCTCGATCAACGATTGAAGGAAACTAGAGCTCGATTCATGTCTCCTTCCTGCAGCAATTTTTTTCAGCCATCACCCATTTACTTGTCCTTCAAGAGTATTCCTTTTTATGCATATATATATATCTCTACAGTGTTCTTGGTCAGGAAGACCTTGACGAAAGGGTCGTCGATCGATGCAGAATTATACGTAGATACAAAAATAATTCTAAAAAAGTTTACGGTCACTGCTCTCTATGCACTGATGTATTTTAAACAAACTTGACTCTTTCAAATTTCAAGGATAACAAGGACAACTAGTTAGCTATGTAAAAATATTTTAATTTCTTTATTAACCGAAAAATAATCATGGTAATTAACAAAGATAGGTAATATTATTATGATATTGACAATATTTACAAGAATAATAAATAAATGAATCAAAAAAATTTTTATTGCCACCGAAAGAATTATTAGTATTATAAGCATGATTATTTTACTCACTGATATAAACAATTGTTAAAAAATCATACAAAAAGAAGATAAAATTCAATATATAATGAGATAACATAACAAGTTTTTATGTTTCTTTTTCACATTAATTAACTACATGAATTAATTGGCTTATTAATTTAATGATAATTTTGTTATAATTTTAAATATAACACGTCGATATCTTCTGTACACAATCACACGTCTAGTTTGTTTTTTATCAGTGTATAAAAATTTTGCACTTGAAATATGTTTAGGTTATCAAATAGTTTTGTGACCAAAGTACATATAAAAAAATAAAAACAAAGTGACTAATGTTGTGTATTTACTTATAAAGACCTCAAAGGTTATCTTAATTATAATTAAATGAACAAGATTGACCGAACCTATTAAATTTTATTCTATTTTTTTATATTTTTCTATCATTTGATTATTGTCTGTTTTGTATTCAACTATTATTATCTCTTCCTTGTTTCTTCATTTTTATCATCATTTATTCATTGAACTTGATCTAACTGATATTTTATAATCTTGAAGGTAACTATCATCTATATTAAATAAAATCGCATTTTGCAATTTGAAAAAATAATTCAGTAATGATAACATTTTTTATCAGTTTATATTATTCTATTTTTACATCGTCGTAAAGTAATCTAAAGTATGTTGAGACTAGTGATTTTTTTTCTCGTTTTTTCAGTGAACAACGTTCATTGTAGATATATCAATGAAAAATGTAATTTAGAGATGATGGACTAAATGTTAAAGGAAAAGAAATTAGCTTCGGAGTCTTATCGACTTTGAGGTCAAACATCAGAGGTCTATAAAATTTCCATGACATACACTTTAGTTTCTAAATCAAAAAGTGACATTTTTTTAAAAATAATTTTCACGTTATCAGCTGATCTATTTTATAAAAAACAAAAATACTAACCTCCATATGAGCTTAAGAGTTTTACATCTACATCAATAACATATTATTTTGAATGTGACTTTGAATGAAATTGAAACTGTGGCTCAACCTATGACCAATTAATTAATTTCAATTAATTGAATATAATTCACTTTAAAATAATTAGTATTGGATTTATTTAAAAATATTCTCGTAGGCCATAAAATTTTATTTCATATTTGACATCGAATAAGGTATAATTTACAAATTAATTATAATTGTACTCTCATCAAATTTGTAATTTAAATGAGGTTGATATGGATGTCGAACAATTCGAAATAATTAAATCATTAACGATTCTATTAAGATTGATAACGATCTATAGAGAAGAAGAAGCAATTCCAGGAAAAACATTTGTTTTGATAAATATTCCATGGCATCTATAAGGTGAACAGTCAAAATTTTCTGACAAGTCATACTTTTTACACGTCAGGTGGACAGAGTTTTTAAGGGTATTCTGAAGAATTGCTTTTTGAATTCGCAAGATTTATTTAGCTGTCAAACGTATTGTACGTAGTGTAAAAAAGTCATTTGTTTCTAAAGTTATTCCATAAATAATTAGTTACAGTCATTCTATATTCAATAGAATTAATTTCATAATTCACGTGTCTTCTTGACTCATACTTTAAAGTAAAAATGTTGGAAAGTGATAACTATTTTATATTAAAATGACAAAATGAAATGATTCGTGACAGTCCTTTTTTACTGCATAATCATTTTTTTGTTACTCATTCAACTTAATTTATGTTGTAAAAAAGACATAATTTATAGTTGTTACATTATAATCGTTCAATCTGATTACACATTTGCTACAGAAAAACATTTATAATATGAACTAATGTCTTATATAGACTACTCAACTATGTTGCCTAAGTTGACTTGGGTCTTCAATTTTATCATTTGTAATGCACAATCATTTTCTGCCATTTATACGTTGTAATTAATTTTATCATAATCGCAGTTTTTATTATACCTTATTAGAACAGTTTTATTAATGAATAGGTATACAGAGTGACTTCATTAATGTGATTCATGAGATAAACACAAAGTTATGAATTAAAAAATTCGTTACACATTTTTTTTTGCACTGAAGAATTTTAAGAATGAAATATATATTCTGATTAATAACAACTGCATGTAAATAAATTTAATGAAGGAAATTTGAGATTCAAAATTATTCCTCTTTCACACCAATGGTATTGTAAACGCCTGCATGAACTTCAGATGCTATTTTCATCCTTAAAGAATATCCAGTGTGGATAAATCCTTCCTTATATGGTGTCGATATTTTCAATTATTGTTTCAATATTCTCAATATATTTTATGTTAATAAAAATCATTATCCAATTAAAGAATAAAAAATTTTAAGTAAATTGTAAAAAAAACTTGTTCTATTTTTCTTATTATTCCTTAGTTTTCTTTTTGAATAATTCGTTTAATCATATACACAAGTATCAGTATCTACTTATAAAAAATGAATATTAATGTTCATGATGAATAAAAATTTAATAATAATCTAATAATAGAACTCTACTTCAATTACTCTACAAAGAAAAATATAATGATTTTTCACAATTCGATCTCAATTTGAAGAACTATCAAATTTCTATATTTTTTTTACCTAAATAATCTTTTGTTAATACTTTTTACATATAATAACAGTTAAAAATTGTTTATCATTAAAATTAAGGTGAAATTATTTTTAAAGATAATTACCAATTTTTTTATTTTTATTTTTTAGCTGTTCTTTTTATTACAAAAAAAATTGATTTTTTAATGTTGCTACATTTAATCAAAAGTCCGAGGATTTTTCTAAAAAAAGAAAGTAATACAAAAAAGCAACATTACAAAAAAAATATTGGTTTTAACACCCATGGAGTAATCCTAAGTCGGTCTGAAAGGCTAAATGAGAAATACTTCTCGATCAGAATGCGCTTCAGTAGATGCACGAGGGGCTTATATCGACTTCATATAATGTTCACGTTACTATTGGGGTTGGTTAGCACTGAGTCTTAGATTCCCTCTAAGTTGAGAGATTTGCAGGTAGGATTATTCCCGATAACTTTACCCTCTAGCAGCCTTTTTCCTTCATTTTTATTCATCACGCAGAAAGTAATAACGTCGATATTTGGTTCAAATATTACATCTTCTGTTACCTAAAATAGATAAGATAATGATTAGAATAAAATAGCCATATTTTTAAATGAATACACATTACAATAAAACTTTATTATTGTCTGTCATTAATAACACTATTTCAAGGGAACACAAGAAAAATGGCAATATTTTTTATTGTCATAAGTTTTAATATATTTTTTTTATTAAATAAATTCAATGAAAATATCAAACCATGTTTATAAAAAAAAAAAAATTAAAAAAACAACATACAGAAGACAGAATATAGTTAGGAGGGCACAGTAGGTCGGAGCAAAGTTGAGATGTAATAAAGAGACGCGATAAATAACGCCTGAAAGTAGCAAAGTAATTTCAGAGCCCACGATTCCGTTTCTTGTCTTTTCCTGCCTCTTTTTCCGACTCCCTTAAAATCTTACATCGGTCAGAACTACCAACATTAAGGCCATTATCGCAATCTTTTAATTTGCACCCAAAAACATTACTTTATGTACGAATTATAACGAGGATTTACTTCTTAGCTATTTACAAGTATGAAAATATTTTATAGAAAAATACGCGGTAAATTAGAATATTCATCTCATATTTTACTGAACATTTCAACATAATTTTACAACAATATTGCCAATTTACATAATTTAAACTAAAAATAAATATATTTCAATGAATAATCGACCACTTTCTAATGATTAATTAAACAAGAAAATAACTTAGTTTGTATTAATATTAATAAATATTTATTAAATTTTCTATCGTTATTAAAAATATTATGATACTTGAAAGTTTGAATAATGGTAAATTGTTTTCACTTTCTTTACGTGCTTCTTTACATAACATTATTTCTTCTCGTGATTTGATTCTTAAACCGCGATTCCTCTCGGACTTGGCAGCTTGTTAATTATGATTAATCATACCTCGGAAATTAAAGCAATTAATCTTCCGTTGTTGCAGCTGAGCCATATTCTCTTTCTTTGTTTCACTTCTGCGTTCACAAACTCGTACTTTTTGGCTAAAAAGTGCTCAAGATTTCTCAATTAGCTTCTCAGCTTTTAAACCACAAGAATATTTTTTTCTTATCTTCCATCGTATCCATGAATCTGTCATGCGATAATCTCTACTTAGAAATGAATTTACGCGTTAAATGTTTGCTTATAATAATTTTCTTGAGTACTCATTTACTCGTGCAAATAATGAAATAACTATATTGTTGCATATAATTAATGCTCAGAATGTGCAACGAGTATAAAATTAATAGCATAAAAGGTTTATTGTAAAAAGTATTTAGCTTTTTTTTTGAAGCAAATTTCTCACACTTTCGTCTGAGAAATAGCTTTTACAGAGTAATTCTGTATCGTATAAAAAGAAATTACAAAAGAATACTGTTGCATTGTCAACGCAAGTCACGTGTTAATCGTTGCATAGTCGAATCTAGTTTTATGCTCGAATAAAATAA